GAGTCAGAATTAGGAGGAGGATATGGAATGTGTGGCTGATTGCCTCCATGAACAACTGCTTCCTTTGCCATGAGACCAGAAAAATGGATGGCGCCTGGCTACCATTACTGAACATTTTGATCAAAGATTCCTTATCAAAAGGGGGAAAGGAACTTGAATAGACATTTCATCAAAGAGTATCTTCTAATGGCCACCAAACAAATGAAAAGGATCCTTATCAAAAGGGGGAAAATGTAGAACAGAATTTGAAATTCTCATGGACTCTAGACGTTCTGGAGCTATGGAGGGTGGATGAACCCCTGAAACTATTGCCCTGCCTGAGATGATCTTTAAACCTTAAACCAAAATATCCCCTGAAGTCATCTTAAAATTGAACAACGTCTGCCTTGAGCATTATACTCTTTTAAAAAGTATTTATATGGGATCAAATTGACAACCGCAGCTGGAAAGATAGGATAGGAACTTTAGGGGCAGTGAGTTTATGTTAATGAGGGAGGAACAACTCAGAAAAGGGGGGTAAGAATGGTTGCACAACTCAAAGAATGTAATCGATGTCATTTAATTGTACATGTAGAAACTGTTGAATTGGTGTATGTTTTACTGTGTATGTTCTCAACAACAACAACAAAATAAATAAAATTATATTTTAAAAAAAGATAATGGTTACCTTTGGAGAGTGAGAGGACAGAGTTTAGGGAAGGAAACAAGTAACTTCAAACCTATTGGTTATGTTTTATTTCTTAAAAATAAAAACAATAGAAGGAAAATATGGCATAGTGTTAAAATTTGATAAAGCTTTCATATTTAAATGCAAGTCTTTACTATGTTATTTATTATTTTGTGTACATGTTTCAAATATTTCATAATTAAAATATTTGCTAGTATGCAAATATGCGAAAATATTTGCTTATCTTGCAAATACGGCCACATATATACAGAGACACATTTTAGGACATTTTAGAAACATCTAGATTACTTCTGGAAAGTAGGGATGAGATGATTCTCTTACTTTTCACTTTATGCCTTTCTTTAGTACTTAATTTTTTTTCCCGAAACCTGTATTAGCTTCATGAATTAAAAAATGAGAAAGGACTAATCCAGGCTCAACAACTTTCTTATTATGTGGATGAGACAAAAGACTTAGAGTGCTCTAAAGATGTATTTTCTCATCTGTAAAATATGGTTAGTAATATCTGCTTTGCCAAGGTGCTGGAGGAATAGAAATTATTTTTATAAAACATCTCAAAGAGTGCCTTTTACATAAACCCGTTGCCATCCAGTCGATTCCGACTTACAGCAACCCTATAGAACAGAGTAGAACTGCCCCATAGGGTTTCCAAGGAGCAGCTGGTGGATTTGAACTGCAGACCCTTTGATTAGCAGCCGAGCTCTTAACCACTATGCCACCAGGGCTGTAAATAAATAATAACTGTTTACATTATGAATAAGACTGTAGGATATGCTCTATTTGCAAATTTACACACATTGAAATGTGCAGAGAAAATAAATGTAGATTTTTATTTCTCAATAACTGATCTCTTCTTTCACATAAGGTTCCTGTGGGGGGAAATGATCTTAGAGCCAGGAAACTTAGTTTGATTCAATAATTCAAACATACAGCCAATGTTTAAATCCCTTTCCATAAATGCTGTCTCTTTAGGCATAAATGCATAGACTCTGAGACCTTGTTCCCTCACCTTCTCCTCCTGAGCAGGCTTGCCAGATTTAGCAAATAAAAATACAGGACATCCAAAAAATTTTGAATTTGAGATAAACAACAAATAAGTTTTTGGTTATGTCCCAAATGTTGCCTGACATATTTATAACTAAAAAGTTATTTGTTGTGTTTCTGAAATTCTGGTGTCACTGGACAACGTGTATTTTTTCTGGCAGCATGTCTCCGGTGCATAGGGCAGGGCCATGATGGGAACACAGGACCCAGGACTTCCTGTACTGTGGTGTGTGCTAGGTCATGCCTGGTCCAGTCCCTGGGCAGTTTAAGGACATCTGCCCATCACGGCCATGGCTATATGACCCACAGTTGGCTGTCTCTCAGCTCAGCTAGGGCCTAGGTGCCCCCTGGATGAATCAGCCTCACGACGCCTTTCCATGACATCCTCTTCGGGCCTTGTCTTAGTCATCTAGTGCTGCTATAACAGAAATATCACAAGTGGATAGCTTCAACAAAGAGAAATTTATTCTTTCTGGCGCTGGTCTCCTGGCTCTGCTGTTGCCAGTTCTCTGCTGCTGCTGATCCTCTGCTGCTACTTCTCACTATCTGTGCTGTCTCTGGTGTTAACAGTTCTCCTCACTTCCTTCTGAGTCCTCTATCCATTCACAGTTTCAAAACCACTTCCACGTTTTAGTTGTCTGTTAGACCAGCACCCTACTCCTGGTACCAAATTCTGTCTTAGTCATCTAGTGCTGCTATACCAGAAATACCACAAATGGATAGCTTCAACAAAGAGAAATTTATTCTCTCACAGTCTAATAGGTTACAAGTCCAAATTCAAGGCATCGGCTCCCGGAGAAGGCTTTCTCTGTTGGCTCTGAAGGAAGATTCTTGTCATCAGTCTTCCCTTGTTCTGAGAGTATCTCAGTGCAGGAACCTCAGATCCAAAGGATGTGCTGTACTCCTGGCATTGCTTTCTTGATGGTGTGAGGTCCCCATGTCTCTCTGCTCACTTCTTTCTTTTATATTTCAAAAGAGATTGGCTTAAGACACTATCTAATCTTGCAGACTTCGTCAATATAACTGCCACTGATCCATCTTACTACATCATAGTAATAGCATTTACAACACATAGGGAAATCACATCAGATGATAAAATGGTAGACAATCATACAAAACCGGGAATCATGACCTAGCCAAGTTGCCAGATATTTTGGGGGGACACAATTCAATCTATGACAGGCCTGGACTAGATGTCCACTCCACAGCCTATGCTAGGGGGCGAGTCTCTAATCCCTCATGATGGAAGCATCTGTGGCAGATTCCCTGGCTCCCAACCCAGCTCATTATCACATGGAAATTTCTGATAATGACCCCAGGGAAGCTAAATCTAGTGCTCCCTCTATCCAAATATTCTGTGTCCTCCAGCATTGATGTGGTTATCTCCTATGAATTCATAGCATCCCAGAGTCCCATCCAAAGCACAGCAAAAGCTGCACCCCAGGCTGCAGTGTTCCCACAAGGAACCCATCTCCCTCTGACCACCCACCTCCACTTCCTGTTTCTCCCTTCACCCTCCCACAGTCCCCCAGGCCACAAGGGCAGCCTGCACCCTCCCTTCTCTTGTACAGTCTGAGCTGCTCCTGCCCACTCAAGATGACCAATCCCCAACTGTATCCCAAACACTCTTCTAAAGGCTGGAAATAGCAGTAAATAAGACAAGTTCTCGACTGTCATGGAGCTCACATTCTGGTGTAGCTGAGGAGAAGGACCATAAGCAAATGCACCATTAATTACATACTGTAATGTCCTAACACTATAGTATGTGATCTGAGCTCTACAAAGAAAAGGGAACAGGATAAGGGGGAAGAGGCTGGTAGTGTGGTAGTGGAGATGTATTCTTTTAGATTGGGTGATTGGAGAGGGCATTTGAGCAGAGATGTAAATCAAGCCATGCACATATCCTGGGGCAGAGCACTGCAGGCACAGCGATCAAGAGGTGCAAGTGGGAACAAGCCTGGTGTATTTAAGGCTTTGCAGGGAGGCCAGCTAGCTAGAACAGAATGAGTGGAGGAGGAGAGCGGAGCAGATGAAGTTAGAAAAGTCTTCATGCCTCCCTGTACTATTTTTTTAAAAAAAGATAGAAAAATAATTTAGAAAGCCCTCCCTTTTTTTTTTCTTTCTGCACTTCCTTTTTGCTGAAGAGAATAGGGAAGTCAGCTTGCAGATTTAGAGCTGATCAGGGGCTGCTTAAGTTTCATGACAGCCCTAGAGAGTTGCAAGGTAAAGTGGTTGAAGGGACACTGCCATCGGGTCAGATCTGACACATGGCAACCCCGTGTACAATAGAATAAAACTGCCTGGTCCCGCGTTATCCCTATAGTCATTGGCACATTTGAGTCCATCGTTGAAGCTGTGGTGACAATTCATCTCATCAAGGGTCTCCCTCATCCTTGCTGGCCTTCTACTTCACCAAACATGATGTCTACCGCCAGCGATTGATCCCTTCTGATGATGTGTCCAAACCAAGCAAGTTAGACAATATTCTGTAGTGACCCATAGGGTTTCCACCTTCTGATGATGTGTCCAAACCAAGCAAGTTAGATAATATTCTGTAGTGACCCATAGGGTTTCCATTGGCTGATTTTTGGAAGGAGGTCGCCAGACGTTTCTTCCTAGTCTTAGTCTGGAAGCTCCACTGAAACCTGTCCACCATGGCAACCCTGCTGGTATTTGAAATACCTGTAGCAGAGCTTCCACCATCACAGCAACATGTAAGCCACCACACAAACTGACAGGTGGTAGAAATTGAAACATAGAGTTTAATATTTGAAAAATATTCCTGTTAGATTAATAAATTTTTTACAAATCGTTATGAGAAACCAGAGGAAGATATGACCTCCTTCCTGGAGGAGTCAGAGAAGACATTGGAAAAGGGTGACTTAGTACCAAGGTAGCAGTAATTTACTAGAACTCAACTGAGCCAGCATGGGATTTGTGTCTGGATAGCAAAAATGATGTTACAAGGATATAGGCCAAATGTAAGCGCTCTGTGAAATGCTAGTTTATGTCATTACGATAATCTAAAAAATTTAGTGTTCTGATTGGGTTTGTTGTAATTACCATGTGTATAAAATTAGAAAGGCAGGCCTGGCCCTGCCCATGAGGCCTGGCCCCGACTCAACTGCATCCTCTGTTGATTATTTTTCCGGGAGGTCAGTTCTCTGGAGTTCACAAATCTAAATGTCACTAAGGCTGCTGTTTCTTGTTCTCCACTAATGGCCGTGTTTTTTTTCTCTCCTGGTCTCTTGCGTCTACCCCAATACAGGTCCTGGAGTTCCCACAGTAACAGTGCACAACACCACAGATAAGAAAAGTGAGTACTGCTTGGTCTTTTCTTAAAGCTTCCTGAGACTCGGGAGAAAGAAGCAAAATGCATTACAGGATAATCCAGTCCACACTTTCCTATTCGGAGATGGAGGCGTCATGTCCTGGCAGTTCTGAAGTGAACCAGCAATTGACTATTCTGATGAAATGTAATGAGAGGGAGGGTCAGGGTCACCACAGGGGTCTCAGCGCTCTCCGCATGCAGAGGTTCAGTGTCGGGGCCACCCCATCCCTCTGGCGTGCTCCATATGGAGCCCAAGGTTGGGTGGGCTTCAGCAGCCACCCCTCAGGCATTTGTGGCCTGAGGTGCACCAGGCCCGCCCTCCTCCTAGAACAGCAGAGGCTGGGTGCACTGGGAGCTTCCCATTTGTGAGCCCAGGTGCACCCTCGCAGCATGGAGGGGCACATGGCTGTGTGCCAGGGATGGAGCTTTGAAGTCACCTGAGGAGCATATAGTGCGTTTGTTTTGAAGGGACCCCAAGCAGGTGTGCCACATGCCACTGTGTGTTTCTGTGGTGGATTTGAAATGCTGCAGGCAGTCTCAGGCCGACCCTTGGTAAACTGAGACATATAGGCTCTGTGTACCCTTCCTTCTAGGTCTTACTCTACCCCAGCTCCTAGGACCCTCCCCACCTCTGGGACACCCACAGCCTCCCTCTGTGGTCCCTCCCCTGCAGGACCTAGCTGGCTCAGACTCCCCCAGGGCCTGATGGGAGCGAGTTTGGATCGCTGAGGGAGAGCAGGCTGGCCAGGTAGAGATGGCCCACGAGTCCTCTCTCTCATAGTAGGATTTGAAGCACCAAGAAGAGCTGGAGAGTGGAAAGTTTATGGAGAGGAAATCTCCAAAAGCGTATGTAGACACTGGTTAAAAAGTGGTTAAAGTGGAAAAATAGATTTGTTTAAAGAAACAGTGCTTAGACCACAATCCCACATAATGATAACATTCTGCAAAACCAGGACTTCGAACTGGTTCTTTCTGGTTCGAACCCCTGCTGAGAATTTGCATTTCTAACAAGTTCCCAGGAAGTTGCACATGAGAATCACTTGGGGATCTTGTTAACATTTAGATTCTGATGCAGTATATCTAGGGTGGAAATGCAGATTCTCAGCAGAGAGCCTCTTAGAAATGCAAGTTCTCAGCAGGGGTTCGAACTAGAACAAACCAGTTTGAAGCCCTGGGAAAAACTATCAATTATTAGATATTAAAATTAAAGCATCTGCAACAGTAAAATCAGGAAGACAGAAAGAAAGTAGGTTTTGAAATCATTTACGTGCTCCCCCCCAAAAAATGGATGTCAGAATGGATACAAAAATATTTCAGATGTTTGTGAGGCTAGGTAAGAGTGTAGGTGCTGATAACAAGCTGCATGGGCTTGCATCCTCTTCCAGAGGAAGGGTTGTTTTTCCAGGTGAGGAGGTTTACCTGGTCCCAGGCCTCAGCTCCAGCCTCACCTGGGGACCATTCCAGGTGCCTCCAAGGCTGGGGTGGTGGACTGTCTGTTCAATAGAGGCAGTGCCCTCCAGTGGGTCTCAGGAGCAGTTGCCTGGATTTCTCTTCATCACACTCGCGCGCACACACACACGTCACCAGTGTGGACACACGTGCACACACCCACATGCAGACACACACACTCTCACACATGCACACACATGTGAGCGTGCACACACACACACACACACACACACGTCACCACTGCGGACTCTGTACTACTTTTGCACCTCCCTAAGTCTGTAACTATTTCAAACTAAGTTGTTGTTTTGTGTGTTTGTTTTAATCTGTGGCCTAATAAAAACACAAAACTACCTCTAGGCTTAAAAAAAAGTGGCTTAGGGAAGCCATTCATTTGAACACATCTGTTCCTGACGTCTTTGGGGTGGGGGGGTGATAGTATTAATCTAGCTGAGTCAAAGAGTTCGTGCAGTGCTGACTTTTTGAGAATGCATTTTACCACTTAAGCCGCCTTCAGGCCTGGACGTGATCATTTCCAAATGTCCTCCCAGTAAGCAAGTGCAAGATGCAAATGCTCTCTAAATTCTGAGATGTTTTACTGATTCTACTGGGAAACCAAACAACTGATTCTTTCCACCTGTTTGGTTGATTGCTGCATTAACCAATCAATCCGATCAGGACTGACAGACCTAGATCCACGATTGGCATCTCTGTTCCATTGGGGAGCTCCAAAAGTAAAGAGGTATCCTCAAGAAGCATTTTATTGTTGGCAATGGAAGTGTCACCACCGTGACTGAGGTTCCCAGAGGCAAAGAGATGGGACACAGCAGAGTAAGAAGTGAAGCACGTTATGCACCCAGGATGAAAGCTGGTATTACAGTTCAGTGTTCCACTCTGTTCTGTGTGAAATCCGACAGTGAACCTGAAGTGGACACCCTTGTACTTTGTCTCAGCGAAGTGTTGATGATCAGGAAACTGAGTGGTGTTTATATCATGCTGTGATGTGTAGAATTGTTTTATGACGTGTATTTTACAAGCCTATTGATACAGTTGTATTTGAGCTCTGGTTTCCCATAGTCTAATCAAGCTCCGAGCATATGTCGTTCTAACCTCATATGTTTCTACATGTCTATGTCTCAGTGCAGTTCCAGACTCTATCAGAATGCTGATTTAAGCCACGTTGACACCAAATTAAGTTAGAAAAGGAGTCATTAAATGTGACTTCACTGGCTATAGCACGCACACCTTGCTGGAAGGAGAAGAGGGATGTCATCTTGTTCAGGGTCAGTTTTATAACCAGACACAGTGGTTTCAGCAGCACCAAGAAGATCTCCTAAATACCCACTTTCCCACATGCTTGATACAGTGCCTGGAATTCCATCATTCGATATTTATTTCTGTGCGTTAGGACATTGGAGCCCTGGTGGCGCAGTGGTTAAGAGCTCAGGCTTCTAACCAAAAGTCAACAGTTCGAATCCACCAGTCACTCCTTGGAAACTCTATGAGGCAGTTCTACTCTGTCCTGTAGGGTTGCTGTGAGTCAAAATCAACTCAACAGCGACGGGTTTGGTTTTTTTAGGGGGTTAGGACATTATATCTGCATGAAGGCTTCTTTCAAAATATACAAATCCCTTGTATAAATTAGGATTACATTTGGCTACAAGTAACAGGAAATTTAAAATAGCAGTTACTTAAACAAGATGGAACTGTACTCCATAGGTTTTCAATGGCTACTTTTTTGTAAGTACATCACCAGGCTTTTATTCTGAGGCACCTCTGGATGGACTCAAACCTTTTTACTGTCCACAGCTGAGCACACTAACGTTTGCAACTCAGATTTGACTCGATGGCAACTGGTTAAACAAGATGGGAGATAACTCTCTCGTGTAAAGTTCGGAGGCTGCTCTCGCAACTTCTCAATCCTTAGGGGCCCACCGTCCTTCTGTCTGTCTGTTCTGCTATCTTCAGCTTGTAGCTTTCACCTCAAGGTTGCTTCGTGCTGCAAAATGGTATCATGTCTGCATTCCAGGCTGGAAGATGAAAAAAAGGGGAGATCAAAAGAGGGGCTTTCCTATAGCAGAGACAGTTCCCTTTAGGCTGTCCTCCAACAAGAGCCACACAGCACGTCTGCTTACAGCTCACTGTCAGCGTTACAGTGTAGTTACACGTCCACTCCTAGCTGCAGTGAAGGTCTTGTAGCTGGGCTTCTTGCCAGCTCAAACAAGCATCAGGATTTCCTTAATCGGTAACCAGTTGCAGTCAAGTCAGTTCTGGCTCATGGCGACCCCACGTGTATCAGAGTAGAACTGTGCTCCACAGGTTTTCAGTGGCTGATTTTTCAGAAGTAGGTCACCAAGCCCTTTTTCAGAGGCACCTCCAGGTAGACTAGAACCTTCAACCTTTTAGTAAGCAGCTAAAAGCGTTAACTATTGCAATACTGAGCAACTCCAGGATGTCCTTATTAAATAATAATTGCTGTAACAAACACCACCAAAATTCAGTGGCTTAGTAAAACAAGACTTCAGTTTTGCTCACACAAAGTCAAATTCATGTGTTCCTAGTTAGATTGCTCTTCCGGGAGGAACCTGGGGGTCTAGATCCCTTCTAGATTGTGGCTGCACATCATCTTCACATCCTCCACTTCCTGCCATGTGGACAGGAAGAGAGAAGATAGGTCAGTCGTGAGGGATTGTTTTTTATATTGAGGCCTAAAAGTGGCATACATCATTTTCATTGGCCAGAATTCAGTCACATGGTCCCACCTAGAGACAAGAGAAGCTGTGAAATATGATTAGCTAAGGAAAGAATCCCTGGTGGCACAGTGGTTTAGCGCTTGACTGCTAACTGAAAGGTCGGTGGTTCACACCTACCAGCAGCTCCTCGGGAGAAAGACGTAGTCTGCTTCCATGAAGATTACAGCCTTGGAAATCCTACGGGGCAGTTCTACTCTGTCCTGTAGTGTCGCTATGAATCAGAATCTACTCTATGACACGCAAAAACAAGGAAGAAATAATCAAATATTGGTGAATACTAGCTGTCACTGGAGCCCTGATAGCAGAGTGGTTAAGAGCTTAGCTGCTAACCAAAAGGCCAGAAGTTCAAATCCACCAGCCGCTCCTTGGAAGCCCTATGGAACAGTTCTACTCCATTCTATAGGGTCGCTATGACTCAGAATCATCTTGACAGCAATGAGTTTTTTGGTAGCAGTAACTGTCATAATAAGGAAAAAACGAATGAATTATAGGATGGCAATTAGTAGCTACATTTGCCACATCCTGAAAGAATTGATCTAGGGAATAATTATTGGTCATCGTCTTCATTACTTAGTGCTACTATAACACAAATACCCCAAGTGGGTGGTTTGGAAGAACAGAAATTTATTTTCTCACAGATCTGGATGCTGAAAATCCAAATCAGGTCTCAGCCATGTCGATTCTTTCTGTGAGCTTCTCTCTTAGTTCCTGGCGTCTGCCCGTGATCCTTAGTGTTTCTTGGCATCTGTCTTCCCCTGTGTGTGTCTCTGTGTCTATCCTACTCTT